TATGTTCAGCATGAAACTTGATGCTGAGAGGAAGTTAACAGTCTAGAAAACGGCACTTGAAACCTTACCAAGACAAAAACCCAATACCACACTTCCCACAGCTCGAACCGGACGTGATCGCTGGCGATGTATAGGCCCGTAGTGCTGTAGTGAAATCGCTTGGAAACCCTGCAGCTAGAAACTGTTACATGTCAGTCCTCAAAATTCGGGAAGTCAGTTGTGCAACTCTACGTGTTACTTGGACAGGGAACACCCCGCTAAAATTTCAGCTTTCCAGCTTTGCTGGTTCCCGAGTTAGCAACTTTCTTGGCAAAAACTTTCAGGGGGCCGTACGTGAGAACCGCAACATATCTGAGGGCTGAATCTGAAATCTTTAAGTTGTATGTGGGCTGCCAACATACTTTAAAAATTTCAGTTTTCCAGCTTTTCTGATTCTCGACTTAGCGGTCTTCCCGCCAAAATTTCCACTTGGTGGTACGCGGGGTCCATACGTGCTGAGGGGTGGTGCCGCGATCCCGGATGGTACTTGGCTGAGAAATCCGGTGGCAGAATCCTGGAGCCGGAAATTGCGTGGTTGCCGAGTTGAAATGCCCGGACAGACGCACACACACACGCATACATACACACACGAAAATACACACACACACACACACATACACACACATATATACACACATACGGACATACACACACATGCACACTATAAGTCGTTACAGTATGCGTTTTTGCGTTTGCATATATGCAGAAACGTGTAAAAACGAGTTCACGTCCGAGCAGAGTTCATACTAGTTGTCGCCTCAAACCTCACATTCTGGAGAATTTTACATATAAAACCGAATACTATGAATTCAGATTACCCTGTTGTTCCGGGGTTTATGCTTACCCCTATAAAACCACTTATTATACAGCTTCCCGAGGTATTTCCTAGCAAACCCCCACCAACGCTCCTTCAAATTCGACCCGCCCTGAATGCTCAAAAATCACTGAGAGAGTGTTGGTTTGCTGAGAAAAAGTTCCAGTCGCTGACCAGTGTGAGAATTTTGAGGGTGCAGCCAGCCAAGCTTGGTAATATCAAATCATACTGAAAAAATTCAAAAAAGAAAATTTGGATGCACTGTCGGCGGTAATGGCGCAAAAAGCAAGTAAACCCAGAAAGTCAATGATCCTACTCCGTCAGTGAGGCAATCAGCCCCTTTACGGTTTGTTTATTCATTTCGGCTACTGATATTGGCACTGGCAAGCGCTAAGGAACAAAATCGCCACCAACTATTTTAGTAAGCAATCCTGCGCGGGCTCATCGAAAACCTTAACAGTTGGACGATGCTACTGGTATATAGCACCATTCGAGCTACTTTTGAGCGTCTTTGATTCTCAGGGAAAGTGTACACTGAGTGGGTTTTTTTTTAATTTTGAGTTGCTGGTTGTTAGTCTAAAAGACAAATCACGAAATATTAGCCTTGTGGCGACCGGAACACATCAGGATTTCAGCTTATAGCAATGTAAAACATTTTATTGGACAACGCAGGTACACTGCAAACAAAAAATTCAAGACTTTTGTGAAAATTCCTAAGTAAAACATCGACATCACAGGTACATTATAAGTAAAATACTCAAGATCCTGTGGAACTTCCTAAGAAAGCCAATTGTGGGTTGCACCAAGCGCTCCGTCATGCTTATTGGGCGATAAAACAATCACACACGTTGCCACCCATAGTACGGTCAAATTTGAGGGACTGATATTCTGCTTGATGGGTCTTTGCATTCAGCTCCAGAACTACGGAGAAAAAAAAACACTGAAAGATTTATGACACCACAAACAGGTTTCTGATTTTTAATTACTAAAGCAGAGTTATGAAACTATGAAAATAATTTTCAGGGATCTAGGGCCCCGTCCCGATCTGAGACCGAGGTCCTAGAATTCCGAAAATATATTTCAGAAGCACTTTATGTTTTGATTGTCGTCAAAACATAACGTTGACGCATTCGCATTTACCTGCAAATGCTTCAAAGAAAGCTCTTTATGCGATCTTTCATTATTTTATATTTTTGATATACTTTTTTGCATTACTTTCAACTTATTTTAAAATATTTCTGAGGGCCGATTTTTGAAGGAACGTTAGGACTAGGGGCCAAAACCACAAATCCTTTATATTTCCCATCCTAGGGGAGGCCAACTCTGGTCGTGAGTTCTTTTCTGGTACAATGCCTTTCTGATCAGTTGAGTTTCCGCGAAATGCAACGTTACTGATTCAACATCAATATTAATATAAAACACTAGAAAAAAATAAGGAAGACGTAATAACATAAAAAGAAAGAAAGCCTCTGTGGAGACAAAGCTTTTCAGAACGGAATAATGCCG